ACATAAATATAAAGCAGAAGCCCAATCTTTAAAAGAAAACTCCGTCTAATGGCGAAACCTCAAATCAGATCATTATAATGCAAGCTGAGGGAGGGGTGTGTCTCTGGGGCTTGCCTGCTGTCTCTGTAAATTTATAATCACAAAGGTGCATACAAGAGCCCAGATCAAGGAAGGCAGTACAATGCCCTCCTGTTAGGGAAGGAAGACGGGTGACTCACCCTCGCATTTCTCTGTGCACAAAGACAGACATACAGGAGCCCATGGCTAAGAGCGCTGCCTTCAGATCCACGCTCCTGGGAGGAAACTTGAGCTCTAGTATGGGTACAAGGAAGGCTGGAGAAAACAAGCCAGGGGTTAACAGAGACAAGTGTTTATTTTCACATAATGTTGATAAGTGCATCTAAAAGTTAATAACCTATCAAAGCACAGCCATAGTAGCCAAAATAACCTGGCAGTGGTACAATGATAAATACACAGACCAGTGGAACAGAATAGAGAACCCAGAAATAAATGCATGCACCTACAGGCAACTGATCTTCAACAAAAGGCCCTTAAATGGAAAAGAGATAGTCTCTTCAACAAATAATGCTGACCAAATTGGATTTCCATCTGCAAAAAATTGAAACAGGCCACACCTCACCCCATGTAGAAAGATAAACTGTAGAAGGATCAGAGACCTGATCAGACCTGATCACAGAAAACAGGGACAAGCTTAAGGGCCCTATTACAGTGCATAGGCACTGTCAAAGATAATGGAAGCACACACAGTAGAAGACAAAATAGATGACTGGGTCCTACCAAAAATAACACCTTTGTGCATCAAAAGACTTCATGAAAAGAGTAAAAAGAGAACCCACAGACAGGACAAAAACCTTTGGCAACTACACAATGGACAAGAAAACTGTAAGAAAAACAAACCAATCCAATTTAAAAGTAGGCAAAGGACATTGACAATTAATCAAAACTGGCATCTGAATGGCTAAGAAACATGAAAAAAATGCTCATAATCATTAGCTATCTGAGAGATGCAAATCAAAGTAACAATGAGAAATGACCTTATACCAACAATGACAGCACAGTTAAAAAAAACAAAGGGTGGAGATGGTACAGCGAGATTGGAAATTTCATGCATCGCCGGTGGCTCAGTATGTACATCCATTGTAGAAAGAAATATGGAACTACCTCAAACAACCAGGAATATAAATTTTATAGGATCCAGCAATACCTATTCTGTATATACACACTAAAGAAGAGACATAATTCAAACAGACATATGCACACCCATGTTCATGGAAGCACTTTTCACAACAGTGAGAAGTTGGAAACAGCTCGAACACCCATCACTGGAAGAATGGATGAAGACATTGTGGTACATACGCACAATGGGACACTATGCATCGATAACAAATAACGAAACCACAGATGACCTTGTGTCATGGATGGGCCTGGAGAACATTATGCTGAGTGAATTCAGTCCATCACAAAAGGACAAATATTGCATGGGACCACTACTGTAAGGATAAACACCAAGATTAAAAACTTGCATGACAAAGGAGATAGACTTTGGAAGCTACCAAATGGGGGCGGGCAGGGGAGGAAAGATGAAGCTGGGTACCAGGATAGAAGACCACAAGAGGGGAGAGGTCATCAGAGAAGGGGGCTGGGATAGAGCATGGGGGCTGTGATGAAAGGTTTGACCGTTAAATGCAGAGTTAGTGCTCTGAAATGGAAAACACCCCCACCCATTCACACTACAAATAAGAATCGTATTTAACTAATAACCAAGACCTCTGACACGTTTAGTAACAAGATTCTAGTTTATTTTCTCACTAGATTTTTTTGCCCCGATATAATTCTATTTGTGTTTTTCAAACTAGGTCAGGAGACCTCTTCAATTTCCAACATTATCTATCTATCTATCTACACACATTCCCCCCTCCCCACCTTCTCTGTTAAATCTGTCCCAGTCCTGAACACACTCAGTGAATGACATACCTTTATTCTGTGTCTCCTCTGTACTTCCAGTCACTGTAGGGAAAGTTCTGTAGGTAACATACCAGTGTTGGGTTCAAATAATTTAACATGTGGTTCGCTGCCCCAATGACCATTTTATGTATTAAAAAATGATATACTGAAAAGTAGTTTATTATTTCAGTTAATACTTAAATAGGAACAATGAAGGAGGTACACAAAACTAGATGATAAGTTTTAAAATATGAAATAATATCCCACAAAAACAATGAAACTGTTCATTAAAATCTTTCTGTATTGCTTCGTGATTGCCATCCTCACTGCAATATTCTTCCCTTTTATCTGTGCCTCATTGGCTGTGTGATTTATCCTTAGCCATCTTTTCGCTGCAAGAGAAGGATCCAATTCCTTTAGCAGTAGATGAATTAGACAATAGTCATTGTGTCTGACATATTAGAAAAAGGTGACTTTTCTTCTCTGTACATATTATGTTCATCTTTGAAAAATCTCTTTCCATTTCTGCTGAACTTTACAGCAATTGTTCTGACAATATTTTTAGCTCTTTGAATACTTTTAGGAATTGCATAATTCACTCACATCAAAAATTCAAAGACCCTGAAGTTAGAGACCTCGCTCTCACCTTGAGCATGCATGGTGGGGAAAAATTAAAAATGAAGACGCAGAGTAACCTTGCTGCCTATTATAATAAAAGTCACACCCACTAACGCCATGACAGTTTACCATTACCTAGGAGAGTGCCATGACACTTCCAACCCGACCCCAAACTTATCAGAACAATCAGGAATATTCCTTTTCATAGGTATCATACAGTTGTAACTGTAGAGTAAGTATCACTGCACTGTACCATCAGGGGTCAGTCTCCACACTGGAGATCCCTCCTTCAGGATGTCCGTTCGCTTTGAAATAAATGCTTGGCTGAGTGAGATGCTATGCCTTTGTAATACTTTTCTACTGAATTAGGGCCACCGACTCTTGAGAGTCTTTGAAACGGCATGGGACACGAGACCAGGGACATCCAGAGAGGATAACAAACTGACATACTGTTTTAGCAAATCTGCTGCACAAGGATCTTTTTAAGTGTTTCAAGTGTTGAGCAAAGATGTCACTTTGAGAACAAGAGTGTACTGACCAAGTCACAGTATTTTCAGCTGCCTTATATGCATATGAAAATTGGACAATGAAAAAGGAAGATGGAAGGGTTACTGATGCATTTGAATTATAGTTTTGGCGAAGAATATTGAAAGTACCATGGACTGCCAGAAAAACAAACATCTCTCTTGGAGGACATACTGCCAGAATTCTCCTTGGAAGCGAGGATAGGAATACTTCTTTTCACATTCTTGGGACTTATTAGGAGACACTAGTCCCTGGGAAAAAAACATCCTACTCGGTCAAGTAGAAGGTCATCAATAAAGAGGAGGACCCTCAAGGAGATGGATTGACACAGTGGCTGCACTTACAGACTGAAACAATTGTGAGAATGGCACAGGACCAGGACATTCTGTTATACCAAGGTGGTTATGAGTGGGTGCCAACTTGAGGGTACTTAACAATCCTTGAAGTCTTTCAAGAATTCAATTAGATACATATTCAACGAGCTATATATTCACCTGCCACTTGATTAGCAGCAGAAAAATGTTGTTTCTCCAACATGCTAATCAATTTCCTCCCTCTTTCCCAGAACATTCTCAAGACTAATGACTAAGGTTCTCAGTGAAAGAAAAAATGATGTAAAATGACGACCAAGAAAGTCTAGACAGGGATGTGGGGTGTCTATCCTCAATCAGTTCAGAGAACATTACCTTAGGATAAGCAAATCTCAAAATATAGACACTTGTTGCTTTCCGGGAATATTTTTATGCAAACACCATTTGTAGGGGCTGGAAAGAGACCCAAGAACCTGAAGAAATTCCTGAACAAGTTCTCTGTGAATAAGATCTGCCCTACGAGATAATTGTACTCAGGATATTACAAGGTTGTATACAGGAACCTGTTACCTAGTAAGTGGGCATTCTGGGTCCCATTTATCATACTTGAGAAGCCTTCAGATGCAAACCTGATTTGGTTTTGAAACTGACTGTGGCAGCAATTGTACAATCCTTGATGGGACTCTTATCTGCATGAGCTCCCGATGAAATGGTTAAAACCAAAAAGGATCGGGAAAACAAGAAGAAAAAAAGAAAGAAAAAGAAAACCTGATTTGGGAATGGAGGCTCGATCCAGCTTCATTTTATAGACCGACCCCGATCGTCGCGGAGCCAAGCGGTCCGGGATGTCAAACCCAGCACGGTCGGGTGCTCTGTGAAGGGAAGGAGGCGCAGGGCCCGTGCCACAGGCCTGGGGGGAAGGAGCCCAGTGCTGTCCTTGGAGACCCGAACACCGACCGGGACTTCCTTCCCACTTTCCCCCAGGCCTTCAGTGGCGGGGATGCGGTTGGCAGAGGCCCATCAGGCGGCTGCCTTCTCCAATTCTCGGCACCTAAAACGCAGCCGGGCCAGGGAGAACCCCAGTCAGCGTACAGTCATCGAGCCATCACTAATAGAATCACTGCCCGGGATCCTCATTTAGAACTGGGGGGAATTCTTCAGAAATCCATCCCTGTGGGAAACGGAGGCTCTGTGCGCGCGGCCTCGCGGGCAGGTTGCTCAGCTCTCCCTGCCGGATGCTTCCACATTAGTCGTCCGTAGAAGTAATGTCAGAGGGGAGGGGGCATAGTTTTAAAGACATAGCATCGCAGCCCCCGGAGCGGGCAAGAGGCCCAGGCCGGTCCCGAGAGCAGATAGGGGCCGGCCGGACAAGGGCGGGAGCGCGAGCTGGCCGGAGAGAAACGGCCAGCCCTCAGGACGCCGCCCGACGCCGACGCCTTCCGCTTCCGGCCCCGCAGCTTGGCCTGCGCCTGCGCCTGCGCTGCGGCCTCCGGCCTCCGGGGGCGCTGTGTCGTCACCGCGTTCCGCACGGCGCGTCCGGAGCTCGGGCAGGGGCGGAAGGTGGGGGGCGTTGTCCCCGCGGACTGGGGAGCGCGGCGCTGGAGTTGTTGATCTCGGCGCAATGGCAGCCTCGGTGTTCTGCTGCCTGCGATGCTGCCGAGACGGCGGTACCGGCCACATCCCTCTGAAAGAAATGCCGGCCGTACAGCTGGACACGCAGCACATGGGTAAGGCCCCTCTCCAGACCCACCGCCCCCCACCCCTGATGCTGGCCCGCCAGCTCCTCCCCCCTGCGACCCTGTCCTTGACCCCGTGTCAGGCTCGCTATGGATAGAATGTTCTTGCCTATCCCATCTTGACCGCGATCTATGCGTTCAAGGCCACCGGAGCCCTTAATGCCCCCTGGCATCCGGAGGTGGGTGTGATGACACAGACGGTCTACTCTGGGCTGCCCACCTCTTCAGACCTCCCCGGGCGAAGGACATAGTGTCCCGCGGCATTTCCCACAGCCCCTGACCACCGTCCGCGCCAAGCCCAACCTACCCCTTCCCCAAGTGTTCTAGAGGCGATCTGGAAGCCTTGTCCCCAGTTAGTAGGCGCTTTCTCTTTCGCTCCACCATTTATCCACCGAGGCTTGTTTTGTTGGAAGAGATGCTTCCTCACCTTAGAAAATTATGAAACAAAGCACTTTGCCAAGTCCCGGTCACACTGCAGGCCAGAACACGTCATTTCAACGCAACCTCCAGTGGCTTGACTCGTTCTTCGTTATGGAAGGGTGTGCGGTAATTTCGTCAGACTGGACCCCTCCCGTGGTGGCACCGGGGTGAAAGCGCCCAGCTGCTAATGAACAGACCTCTGGGTGGCCCCAGGGGAGAAGATGCAGCCTTGATGACAGCCTTGGAGATCACATGGGCATTTCCTTAGGTTAGCAAACGAGTCCTTAACCCATGTGCTACGAGGGCATCTTTGGGAACTAAGTAGCAAAGTGTTAAATGCTGGACCGCTCACTGGTTCAAACCCACCCAGAGGTGCCTGGGGTGTAAAGTCTGGTGACTGATTTTTAGAAGGTGACAGCCTTGAAAAACCTATGCAGCACAGTTCTCTGAAAAACGTGTGGTTGCCATGAGTCGGAATTGACAGGAACTAACAATATATTGCATGTATATACATATATATGTATATATATGCATATACCTATAGAGCTATATGAGGGGCCTTCAAAAAGTTCATGGACACATTCAATTATGTTTTACTTTATTTTCTACAAACTTTGTGAAGCCTCTTGTTCAAAACCTATGGTTGCTGTGCAGTCGATTTCTATTCTTGGCCACCTTACTTAAAGCAAAAGGAAACATTTCCTGTGCCTCCCTACTGGTTGTCAGAATAGTTATTGCCCATCATTGTGTCTGTTGTACCATTCCATCTCACCATGGGTCTCCCGTGCCCATTTTGACTCGGCTTCAACAAACGGGTGCCCTCTTCTAGTGATGGGTCCCTCCTGATGATCTGTCCAAAAGCAAGCCAGTCAGACGTGTTCTGTTGTGACCCATAGGTTTTCTTTGGCTAATTTTTGGAAGTAGATCATCAGGACTTTATTCCTACTCAGTCTTGCTTTAGAAACTGTTGAAACGTGTCCCCTGTGGGTGACCCTGCTGGTGTTTCAAATACCGATGGCACAGCTTCCAGTAGTACAGCAACACAAGCCACAACGGTATGTCAAACTGACAGGTTGTGGATATTATGTTGTTGTTGCTGTTAGTTGCTACTGAGTCATTCAGCTGCTTCATATATATTATATATATATATATTATATTTTATCGGCATTTAATCCACATATCATACAATTCAGTATTTCGGTTGTTCAACCATATCAAGAATTGTACAATCATTAACACAATCAATTTTAGAAACCCCACCTCCACCCACCCCGACCCCTGGCCTCATGTTTTTTGAGGCAGGGCTTTTAGAAGCACATTGTCAGGTCTTGTCTTCCAAGGAATGGGAGCCGTGGTGGCCTAGCGGCTACGTGTTGGGCTGCGAACCACAGGGTCAGCAGGTCAAAAACACCAGCCGCTGCACAGGAGTCTTGCTGTTCCCTGAAGAGTGACAGCCTTGGAAACCCACAGGGAATTCTGCTCCGCCCTCTAGGTTGCTATGAGTCAGAACGGGCTTGATGGCAGGGAGCTTGGGTTTCCTGTCTTCCAAGGCACCCATGGTAGGTTCAGATTGCCAACCTTTTATCTAGTAGGTAAGCGTTTAACTATACCAGAGACTTCTGACTGATACATATATTTAAATTATTTCTTACCAATAACCCTTTGTAGACAGTAAATTGTTCAAGTCCTATAATTTCCCTGAGGGAACATTTCCATTTCATTGGCTCATTCACCTAAATGGTATTTATTGAGCAACTGCTGGGTGGCAGGCATGGTGTTAGGTGTTGGGAAATACGGTCAGGGACAAACCATCCATAGCCCCTGGAGTTTCTGATCAGCATGAGCTCTTCTGGCCCTATCCCCTGCCCAGCTCCCGAATCACGACAGACTGCTCTTGATGACCCTTCCTTTCTTCTGGCCTCTGATTTCTCCACAAGAGCTGGCAGCTTTTGCCCATTTCAGTCTTTGTGTTTGGGTTTTTTTTCTTAGACAGACTTACAGTACGTTTTTTCATTACTGAAGAAGCAGCCTGATTTTAGAAATTGAATAAAAGGAAAGAGGCAGAGCTGCTTGAGTTGGAAGAGGGGGTTTAATGCATCTTGTTGACTATAAACACATACAGCAAGAATGCCTGTAATTGGATAGATGAAGGGTTCTACAAGCAGTACTTGGATTACAAATGAATTCCATTCCTAAGTCTGACTTTAAGTTCAATTTGTGTCTCAGTCACAATAGTTAGGTGCAGTTCATATCTAATGTCAGTCAAGTGTTTGTCTTAAGTCTGTAGAGTGCTTTTCTGTGGGCTCAAAAAAAATTCATGAAGCTCTTGTAATGATACTAAAACATCTTTAACATAAAAATACAGTGGTACTGATAATAATGCTTTGATGCCTGTCACAAATGTTAAAATGTGCCCATTTATGATTAAGAACCATTATATGTCCCTCAAAATTTAATAATTATAATAGCAATACAAGGTTAGTCCATAACCATAAATTGAACATTCAAAACCTGGGGATTAACTGTATTAAGTAATCTAAACAATGTGATTGTTCTTTGTTTTATTGAAAAGAAACCATCTATATATTTTCTGTCCAAATTAATGTTACATCTTTTGCTGATTTTGATGATGCTCTATTAAATTTTCTGTAGCATAGTTTTTCTAAATATCTTCATTGAAACCATATCTTCAGCTTTTAATTGTGAATTGACCTTTTTTTTTTTAACGTGTGTCAGTTTATTTTGCTGTGCGAAATACACGAGTCTTGGGATGTGGGGGTGGGTGAGGGAAGACCATGGACCCCAACCAACAGGGAGTAACAGTCTCCTTAGAGGCTTGGCCACTGTGCAGCATGAAGGCTCTGCAGGTGTACACATGTGTCCATGTTTGCTCAGGTGCATCACCCATGCACACATCCCCACACACACTCATCCACATGCACAGTGCCACACACATGCACACTCACGCGTGCATATACACACATTTCCGAACTCACTCATGCACATGCACACATTCACAGGTGCATATGCACACATGCACACACACGTACACATGTGCAGACACTCACATGAGCACAAGCACATGTGGGCACACGCTCACACACACACATGCGCTCAGGCAGGGAAGGAGGCCGGGTTGGGAGACTCACAATGCTATGACATTGATGACAAAGGTGTCTGGCAGGAAGACAGTGGCCTGCCAGAGTAAGCTGCCCTTGAGCCCCCGGTGGCCCAAGGCACATACTTCTGCTTACCCGACCCTCACCTTGTCACATGTCTGCTGCTACCAACGGGCAGGAACAGCCATGGGGTGTGGGACCCAGTTGGTACCGACTGGTTCCCCCACAGACTTGCGCCCCGTGAAGCTCAAGCACTGGGGGCTGTGGGGGGCAGCACCCTCCTCCTGAGCCACACCTCAGAGGGGAAGCCCAAGCTTCAGGGTGTGTGAGCCCCTGTGCATCCCCGGGGCCCGGGTCACTCAAAGCACGCCTGCCACCCAGATGACACTCCCCTGCCCAGGTCCCTGGCAGCCATCATCTTGCCCCAGGGGTGTGGCACTCACTCTGAGCTGCATTTGGCTTGAGCATTAAGCTGGGACTTCGAGGCTGCCAGTCTCTCCAAGGGGAGCCCAGTGCCGTGGGCCCAGTCCGTTGGAAGTCCTCTGGCCCACAGGCGTGTACAGGCTGGTGAAAGTGCTGGTGCCTGGGCCAGGTGGGCTGCCAGGTCTGCCAGTGTCACAGCCCGGGCCTCATTTAAGGACAGAGTTGATGAGCAGCTGACAGGCAAGGAGTGCGCAGAGCAGGACCCAGGTGCATGGGCTCTGCAGGAGGCTGGGGCTGGTGGGGGTGGAGTCCGCATGGTGAAGGTCAGCATGGCCAGAGGTGCCTGTGCAGCTCCTGCTGGGCCCCCGTGAATTGACTTTTTAGAAATATCTCCCAAAGCTATTTTTAAAGGGATTATACTCATTTGAAAGTTTTAATGTTTCTTAAAATATATTCTCAAGCTATATGTGTCCTGGCTGTATCTATATTTATATTGGCTTTCTAAGTAGTGCAGATAATAAATAAAACTACCTAAATCACATAAAAAAACTTACATAAAAAACTCGGATTCAAATATAGAACAATGTTATACTTAATAAAGAAAATTACATGTTTTAAATAATTTCTTAATGACAAACACGTTAGAATGATCTTTGAAACCCTCTGTATAAATCTCAGCACCTAATAGCATGTCTTACACATAAGAATTGATATTGAAATAAGAGAATCATATCATGCTCAATGTTGGCGCTGTAATTTTAACCTATAGAACCGCTACATTATATTGCCAGTTAAGAAAAACACCATTACCTGCATAATTCCTTGAAATGTATTTAATTTCTGATGCTTTCAGGTGCAAGTAGTAAAAAAAGTATAACAGGATTTTTTAATGTATAGAGAATTGGTTCACGTAAATGAAAAGTACAAAGCCATTGCTGGCAACAGGTAACACTTGGTGACTGTCACTGATTGAAATGAGCGCTAGTTGTGCTGGAGGCCAAGTACTGGGCTGCTAACCAAAAGTTTGGGAGTTCAAACCCACTTATGGCTCCAGGCGAGAAATCTGAGGCTGCTGGCTTCTGTAAAAATTACAGTCTTGGAAACCCAAAGGAGCCTTAGTCAGAGTCGATTCATTGGCAGTGAATCTCTCTGGTAATGATGTAGGCCTTGACTCAGTCACCAGGGCCAAGTACACCTCTGAAAGACATTTGAGTCCACTTCCGTGGAACTGTTTTGGTCTCCAGAGGAGACTGGGGAATGGGAAAGCAGGCTACTTGGACCACTGCAAGTGCTTAGCACAGCACCTGCATGCCTTTTTATATCAGTTCTTTGTTAAGGGTCTGTTAGGTGGCAAGCGCTACTCCATGGTCTTTGCCATCGGGGAAGAGCTGGGCCCTTGGATGCTATCCAGTTGAAACTACTAGAGGTAGACTGGGGGCCAGACTTTAGTCATTTAGAAAGGTACTTTCTCAAAATTTTCTTTCATATCTGTTCAGAAAAAATATGATAATAAAATTTTTATAATCATAAATTAAGATCTTAGTTTTACATTATTAGATGGTATAAAGTCTATCTTAAATGTAGTAATTTAGAATTGTGTAGGATCTGAAAAGTTTGCATTATTCTTAGGTATTTGTCCCAAGTAAGTTTTTGTTTAAATATTAATTCAGTAGTGAATTATTTCTTTTTTAATACATTTTATTTTTAGTTCCACCTTATATTAAGGAGCCCATACAGTTCTAAGATAACCAGATCTGCTTCACTTTTAACACATTATTGGTGAGGTGGTAATAATATTTACCTTAGAAGCATATGTCTTAGTTTTATGGAATATTTTTTGCATGTTCTCTGATGTTCATGTTTTCTTAAATCAAGATTTTGCAAAGAATTGATACTGAAGTCACATTATCAAAGAACTGTTTTTCTCAAACCTACAGGCATACCTTGTTTTATTGCACTTTGCAGATATTATACTTTTACAAATTGAAGATTTGTGACAACCCTGCATCCAGCATGTCCGTTGGCACATCCCCAAAGCTCATCCTCACCATGTTCTCGTATTGTTACTGCACATTTAGTATACTCTGGTATCGTCTAGTTGTACCTTTTATATGCATTTGGTAACCAAAAAATTCATGTGACTTGCTTTAATTTGATATAAGTTTATTGCAGTGGTTTGGAACTAGACCTGGAGTATCTCTGAGGCATGCCTGTGTTATCCATCATATGTGATTGAGCAAAATTATAATTTCCTATGAGAAAAAAAAATCTCTAATGATATTAAAACCTTCCTCCTTGCTTTAAAGGGTTCTTGGAAAAATGGAATTGAAAGATCATGGATTTTTTCTACAGGTGTTTTGAAGCCCCTTGCATTTGTGATATGATTGGCAGTAGCTGTCTCAACAACTGTTTTGAAGACCCTAACATTAACAATTTTTAGTGTCAGCTATTTCCAGGCTGCAGATGCATGCTCGTTTCCATAGTCTGTGTTCTTATTGACTAAAGTACTAGCATAGCATTTTGTATTTAGTAGACATTCAGCCACTATTTATTAGTTTGTTTCAATTCACTTAAATTGATTAGAAAATTATTCCAGTTACCTGAAATTTCTTTTAAGTATTTCTTTTTTAGTTTAAATTAAGAGACATGAAATCATCAAATTAGTTTATTGGCTAAAATTAAAGAGTTAGTCTAGTTCTACCTTTAAAGCATTTTAAACAGTATAATTCAGAGTAATTATTTATTTGAAGCTGCCTAAATTAAACAATGGGCTCAAGCATACGAGCAATTGTGAGGGTGGTGCAGGACCAGTCAGTGTTTCATTCTGCTGTGCATAATGGGTTGTTCTGGGTTAGAATAAACTCGATGGCACCTAACAATAACAATTAAACAAGATTTGTAGTCACAAATTAACATAAAATGTAATTGTTCTGTGAGGAAAAAAATAGCAATTTAAATATTTGAGATAATTTATATTTTCTATGTTACAAAGTCCATATAGTATCCCTATTTTTTGTAGAGGAAAAGTTAAAATTGAAATGTTCATTTTAGTTTTTCAATATGATTATATAAAACTTTACAAAGTATTTGCATTTTTGTTTAGGAACAGATGTTGTCATTGTGAAAAATGGAAGAAGAATATGTGGAACAGGAGGTTGTCTAGCCAGTGCACCTTTACATCAAAACAAAAGCTACTTTGAATTCAAAATCCAGTCCACAGGTTGGTGTAATGGTAGTTTACTATGAAAGTATGGAGCATTCTAAATAGTAAGAACAGTTTTCAGTATATGAAAAGCATTCATGGGGTCGGGGATCTCTCTTACTTAGAAGACCTGGATCATATGACCTTCATCAAATTACTTAATTTTCCATGTACATAATAGGAGATTGTAGGAACTGTCCTTCTTGCGTCTCAAGCTATATCTCTGAACATGTTTTAAAGAGAGACTGCACTAGATAAAGACCCAATACTAGCATTAGTCATAGGAGATAGCTGCCCCATTTCTTGCCACTTTATCCTGGGTTTATTCTACTGATCCTGAATTTCTCTTTTTACTTTTGTTAACATCCCAGATACCCTGATTCAGTGTCTCTTGAAGCAATCATTATATTTAGAATTCTGGTAGAAGTCTAAAATCTGTACTGTTTAAATTTTATGAAGTTGAATCATATAGCAATGCTAGTGATTATTGTATAGTTTTGTTAACCTGTGGCAGGCTAAAGGGTATAAGCAGTGACATTATTGCTGGGTCTTGCATCATCCTCATGACTAATGTTTTGTTTGAGTCTACAAGAGGATACCCCCCAAACTGAATTTTTTTCAAAGCTCTGTATTAAAAGTTTTTTACAAAACAACCTGTCACCTTCAAAGCAGTCTCCATTACACTTAATAATGTCAAACTTGTCAAACTTGTGATTCCATTTTTGAAACTTTTTTCAAACTCATATGTTTGGATGGCTGACGGCACCTTCCTCGCTTTTTTCTTCACCTCTTCTGCTTTGTCAAATGGCTGTCCTTTTATTTCCCCCTGCATTTGCAGAAACAAAAAGAAGTCGCATATAGCAAGGTCAGGTATGGAAGGTGCATGGAGCAAGAGAGGCATGCTGGTTTTTTCCAAAAACTGGCGCACTGAGATGGCTGGGTGAGCAGGTATATAGTCATGGTGGCAAAACCAGTCCCCATCTGCCACAAATCAGGCCTTTTTTGTCCAACACCGATACACAATTTTTTCAGAACCTCTAAATAGAAAGTTTAATGAACAGTCTGACCTGGTAGAACAAACTCCAAATGCACTATTCCCCCCACATCAAAAAACAAGTGAGCATCATCTTGAGCTTTGCTTTCACTTGATGAGCTTTTTTTGGTCAAGGTGACAATGGCATCTTTCACTGGCATAATTGTGTTTGCTTTTAAAAAAAATAGAATAGGGGCATATCTCCTCACCAGGAATGATCTTGGGAAAAAGTCGGGTCACTTCGGAGCTGTTCTTTCAAAGCACAGCATGTTTCCACTTGACAATCTTTTTGCTGGTCAGTCAGAACCCGAGGCACACATTTTGCAGTGACCTTTCTCATTCCCAAATGTTCCATTAAAGTTCGCTGAACCAAGCTCCACAGCAGTCCAGATAACTACCCCATCTCATCACTGGTCCATTGTCAGTCTTTGAGCACAAGTGCACCAATTTTGTCGACATTTTTGTCCATTCGGGAAGTTGACGGGCATCCAGAACAAGGTTTGTCATCAATTGACATTTCACCTTTTTAAAAGGAGAGAACCAGTCACACACTTGAGAGTGCTGTCCTCGTCAGCTGTGTTCTCATCACAGCAGTTTCTGCGGCATTTTCCCCGAGCAGGAAACAATTTCACAGCTGCATGCTGTTCTCGGCCATGTCCAGTATCATTAGGTCTAAGAGAAATATAAATAAAAACCAGAATGAGATGTCATTTCACTCCCACGAGAATGGCTGGGAGCCCTGTAATGTAGTGCTTATGTGTTGAGCTGCTAACTGCCAGGTCAGCAATTGGAAAACGCCAGCCACTGTGCATGAGAAAGATGGGTCTTTCTAATCCCGTAGACTTACTGTCTTGGAAACTCACAAGGGCAGTTCTGTCTTGTCCTGTAGGGTCACTATGAGTCAGCATCAACTCGAAGGCAGTGAGTTTGAGGTTTGCTTGCTTGGGTGTTTTTTTGTTTGTTTGTTTTTTGAGGGGGGTGCGTGGAGGCGGGAGAATGGCTAAGATTTAGAAAACACGTGTAGAAAATAAATGAACAAATGTTGGCAAGGATGTGGTGGCAAATGGAACTCTTAACCATTGCTGGTGGGGATAAAGTGGTACATACATTTGTGTGGAAAACAGTCTGGTGGTTCCTAAAAATGGAACTACCATATGATTTAGCAAGTCCACTCCTAAAAATACACCCAAAAAGACATATCAAATAGATACTTGTACACTACAAGGTTAGCAGTTCACAACCACCAGCTGCTCCGAGGGAGAAAAGAGGCTTTCTATTCCGGTAAAGGGATGCTATCTTGGAAAAACACACAGGGGCAGTTCTACCCTGCCCTATAAGGTCGCCATGAGTTGAAATCAACTTGATGGCAGTGGGATTTTTAAAAAGAAATAGATCAAAAGACTATAAAGGTGGTTATTTCCCACTTCTCAAGAGTAGTGCTTGAAATAAACTCTAGGCCTTTTAAATTTAATGGGTAGCTTTTTTTTTTTTTTTAATCTTAAGGAATAATACTGATAATCCGATTTTGATTATCAGTGCTTATCACTGCTGATAAGTCGATTTTGAACCCTGGTGCCCTCTAGGAGAAAGTACGACCCCACAGGCTTTCTGAGGTTATAAATCTTTACAGCAGTAGACCACCTCATTGTTCTCCCATTGAGTCATTGGTGGGATTGAGTCCGTGACCTTGTGATTAAATAGCTAAATGATTAACCAACAACACCGCCAGGGCTCCTTGATTATAATTAGCTTCTTTTAAAAAAAACCAAACAAACATTTTATTTGGAGCTCTTACAACTCTTATTACAATCCATAGATACATCCATTGTGTCAAGCATATTTGTACATTTGTTGCCATCATCATTGTCAAAACATTTGCTTTCTATTTGAGCCCTTGATATCAGCTCATTTCCCACCCCCACCCACAATGAACCTTTGATAATTTATAAATTATTATTATTTTGTCATGTCTTACAAAGGTCCTCAAACTTTTTAAACAGGGGGCCAGTTCACTGTCCCTCAGACTTGTTGGAGGGCCGGACTATAGTTTTAAAACAAAACTATGAACAAATTCCTATACACACTGCACATATCTTATTTTGAAGTAAAAAACAAAACGGGGCAAAAACACCTGGCGGGCCGATAAATGCCCTCAGCGGGCTACATGTGGCCCACGGGCCGTAGTTTAAGGACCCCTGTACACTGTCTGACATCTCCCTTCACCCACTTTTCTGTTGTCCATCCCCCAGGGAGGAGGTTATATGTAGATCATTGTAATTGGTTCCCCCTCTCTACTCCTCCTTCTCTCCACCCTCCTGGTATCGCCACTCTCACCACTGGTCCTGAAGAGTTCATCTGTCCTGGATTCCGCGTGTTTCAAGTTTCTACCTGTACCAGTATACATCCTCTGGTCAAGCTGGATTTGTAAGGTAGAAATGGGATTATGATAGTGGAGAGGAAGAAGTATTAAAGAACTAGAGGAAAGTTGTATGTTTGTTTCATCGTTGCTACACTGCACCCTGACTGGCTCATCTCCTCCCCACAACCCTTCTGTAAGAGGATGTCCACTTGCCTACAGATGGGCTTTGGCTCCCCACTTCACATTCCCCCGCATTCACAATAATATGATTTTTTGTTCTTTGATGTCTGATATCTATCCTATCGACACCTAGTGATCACACAGGCTGGTATGTTTCTTCTACGTGGGCTTTGTTGCTTCTTAGCTAGATGGCCACTTGTTTACCTTCAAGCCTTAAGACCCCAGATGCTATATCTTTTGATAGCCAGGCACCATCAGCTTTCTTCACCACATTTGCTTATGCGCCCATTTATCTTCCGCGATGGTGTAGAGAAAGTGAGCATCATGGAATGCCAGTTTAATAGAACAAAGTGTTCTTGGATTGAGGGAGTACTTGAGTGGAGGAGGCCCAATATCCATCTGCTAACTTAATACTAAACCTATAAATATATGCACATAGATCTATTTCCCCCTCGTTGTATATAAATATATTTACATATGTACATGACTGTATTTAGAGCTCTATAAATGCCCTTTGCCTCCTAATTCTTTCCTCTATTTCCTTTTACTTTCCTTTTGTCCCAGTATCATGCTCAGCCTTCATTTGGGTTTTAGTAATTCCTCTAGGTTACATTACCCTTGATCAAGCCCTACCATGCCTCTTACACCCTCCTCCCCACAGATTTCGGATCACTTGTTGTTCCCTTGTCCCTGGGTTTGTTAACACCACTTCCTTTCCCCCATGCCCCGCTGGAACCATCGGTCCTGTTGTTTTCTCCTCCAAATTGTTTATCCAACCTATCTTATCTAGATAGACTTGCAGAGATAATAATATGCACAAAAATAAGTCAGAGCAAAACAAAGCAACAAAAGAAAACAAAACAACAACAACTAAATCCCAATGACCAAAAAAAACCCAAAAGCCTGTAAATAGTTCAAGGTCTGTTTGTTGACCTTTAGGACTGTTTTTTGGTTGAGTCTGATGGGGTGTCATGCCCTGGCCCCAAAGTCTATTTTTGGTACTCCCTCAAGACTTCCTTGTTTTGCTCTCCTTGCTATTCTGTTGCACGCCCTTACTGTTTTACCTCCGTGTGGTGGGGTCAGATTGGGCACAATTCCCACACTGTGTCTCCAGCGTTGTCCCCTGTAGGGCTATGGGTCAGTGAGGGATTTCATATCTTGAGGTGGGGCTGGCCATGTGGTCCTTGCTGTAGATTGGCTGCTCTGAGCAGGGATATCATCCTCAAGGCTTGGTGGGCCAGGTTGTGCTCCACTCTCTCTTCCTCCCCCTTCATTTGCTCCTGTGTGCTTTGATCAGACATGCCCCTCTCTCTGAGCTGTAGCTTCAGTGCTACAGCTAAATTCTTCTGGGGGGAGGGGCAGCTTGCCCACATAGTTGGGATTGGGGCCAGCCCCTGAGACCTTTCTACTGGTTCCCTGCTTCATGCTGGTATGTTGCATTCACAT